TTTTCACACTTTTTTGCACATTAAATTTTTATTTTAAGTGAGTAGTCTGCATTTTCTTATTCACAATGACAAACTGAAAACATATTTAAAAAAATTTTTGCACATTCATGAAAAATTAAAAACTGAAATCTTTCATTTACAAAAGTATTCAGACCCTTGGCTATAGCACAGAAATTATGGTCAGGTGCATCATGTTTGCCTTAATTATCCTTGAGTCTAGAACTTGATTGGAGTACACCTGTGGCAAATTGAACTGATTGGACAAAGTTTACACTCATACCTATAAGTTCCCACAATTTACATTGCATGTCAAGACAAAAACCAAGAGGTGATAAAACGAGAGTTACGAATGTAACTGCGGTTCTATAAATCCTGGATGACTGCCAGAGGTGGTGCTTTAAGCACTGGATCTTGTGTATTCGCAGGTCGAGAATTTAATATCAACAAAGTCACCTGTGTCCCCAGATGACCCGAGAGAGGTTACATCTTCCAGTGTCATCAGGGGATCAGTTCCTACCAAACCTTATCTGACATACACTTGCAGTAGCGCCAAATATAGGCTCTAAGGACCCTTACTGGGCATAGCAACTTCAACTTCTCCACTTCCCCTGATGGGGGATCAAACTGTGGCAACTGAATAGGCTTGTTGAGGTGTTAGCGTGACAGCACCTTAGGGAGAAATGCTGTATTAGGCCACAAAGTGACACCCGAGCCATCTGGGTTCCACCTCATGATTCACTCACTGACAGAGCTGCAGGTCACTGACGTGCTTGGCTGAGGAAACGGCAAGGAGGAACGCCGCCTTAATGGACACCCACTTCAGCTCCGCCCATGTCAAGGGCTCAAAAGGAGACGAGCATAGAGCATCCAACACCAGGGGCAGGTCCCAGACTATAGCTCTTGCAGCACTTGAGGGACACACCCTCCAAGCCCATCTTAAGAAAAGGGACACTAGACTGTGGTTCCCCACTGTAGTATTGTCGACCTGAGCGTGCCAGCATGAAATAGCAGCTACATATACTCTCAATGTAGAAGGAGAACGGCCCTCATCTAGGAGAGACTGAAGAAACTCCAAAATGATAAGTACGGTGCAATGCACTGGGTCCTCGCCCCGACCTACACACCAACGTGAAAAGAGTTTCCACCTGTTATCATATTGTAAACGGGTGGAAGGTGCTCTGGCGCTATCAATAGTCTTTCTGACTGCCTCAATGCAAGTGTTCAGTAGCGGCTCAGGCCCTCCAGGGGCCAAAGACACAGTTGGAGGCAGCCAAATCTGACCCCCTAACTGGGATAGGAGATCCATCCTGTCGGGGAGGTGCCACGGTGAGCTGTGGCAGGGCCTGCACAGCAGGGGGAACCACGTCTTTGCTGGCCAGAAGGGGGCCACCAGTAGAAGTCTGTGGCCCTCTTGGTGCACTCTCTGAAGTATGGGCAATATCAGAGGAACTGGTGGAAAGGCATAAAGTAGGCTTCTCGGCTAGGCGTGCGCCAGCGCAACCTGACCCAGAGGACTGGTCTTCTTCATCAAGGAGAACCAGGGGGGCAGTGGGTTGATGCCTCGGAGGTGAAGAGATCCACTTCGGTCCTGCCGAAAAGACCCCAGGTGGTGTGCACCACCTCTGGATTGAGTCGCCATTCCCCCAGTTGGAGCTTATGATGGGAGAGGAAATCTGCAGCCTGGTTCCTCTGCCCCAGCAAATACATCGCCCGCAAGCTGGCCAGCTGCGGGGCCGCCTATGTCAGCAGGTCCTGTGATACCTGCAGCAACCGTGCTGATTTGGTACCCCCCTGGTGGTTCGAACCCATGGGGATGCCCCTCTCCATACAAGGCTTCCATGGGGCCGGAGCGAGGAGGCACCACGTAGATACTCTCCGCCTCCAGTATTTGTGCCACTTGGCATCCAAGTGGAAGCTATTCAGCCATCTTTGCAGAGGGCGGAGAGACAGTAAGCCCAACCGGACATATGGCAAAGCCTCGCCCTTTTGGAAGAAAGCACGGAGCCGCAGAATGTCATCCACATGCTGAGTAGATGGACAGGCCCTCATAGTGACGTATGTACCGTGGGCCACAGTGGAAATTAGCCAGGAGTCGGAAGTGTGAGCAGCCCAGCATCTGAACTGCGGCTGGGAAAGATAACCGACGACCAGCCCCCAGGGATCAATCCCTGGCCCCATGAACTCTGGAGGTCCTGGGGTCGGGAGGACAAGCGAGGTGGGTCACGATACTCATGCACTGGTCTCTTGGCAACAGGGCGCTGGGGCCCATGGTAACCCCTGGTGCAAGGTGAGGGCACTGGTAGGGAGAGACCTCAGGGGGCAGTTGCAGCACCCCTCAGTCTGCCAGGAGGGGGCACAGTTCTTTGGAGACTCGAGAGCTGCCGTCTAGTCCTTCCAGCCTGGACGGTATGTGCCTCTACAGCTGCTGAGTTAAACAGTTCCCCTGGTTTCACCGGGACACTGCAGAGGGTCCTCCTGTGTGTCTCTGTCAGTGGTGACTGCGTGAGCCAGACCTGGCTGCGAGTCTGCACCAAGGTGGACATTAGGTGTCCAAGCTCCCTGGACATGAAGGCGAAAGCCTGCAATGAAGCAGCACTAAGGCTAGTAATAGAAGCGTCCATCCCCGCTTCCTGCAGGGAAGCTGAAAGGGCGAGCATGAGGTGAGAGAGAGAGTTGCAAATCCGTCCCATGCGAGCTGCTGCATCATAACCCCTGCACAACAGATCATCAGTGACCTGGCACTGGGGTCGAGGACACCTGACATCTGGTCTCAGAGCCTCATCAGGGGGCACTATGAGGGATGCAGTGGCAGACTTAATTGCTGGCATGCGATCTAGGCCAAATTTTGCTTCATCTTGCATAGCAGCCAAGGATCTGCTGTCCAAAGTAAGATGGGAGTGCCTTCTAGTGTCCTCCCAGCATGCATGCAGCTCCCTCAAATGCTCCTCTGAGGGGGGAACAGTAAAGGCAGTAGTGGTTGGCCTGTGTCGAAAAAAGGCGCTAACAGGCACCAGTTCAGATGGCATGTCCAGCTGCAGATGAGCTAGGGCCATGTGGACAGTAGCCCTTATAGAGCCTATGCCAGTGTCATCCATGGAGCTGTGGAGCGAGAGCCCGGCTCCGAAACTTGGGATGCACCCTCCTCATCATCATCGTGGAAGAGGGTGGCCGAGGCCGCTACTGCAACAACATCTTCCTCAGGGAACATTTTAGGCAAGGGAGGAGCAGGTGTTTTCTGCATCCTCTGTCAGAACACTAGAGCTTACCCTTCTCAGTCTTAGCCCTCTTCCTGGTGGAGGCAGCAAAGGCCACCTCAACCTGTTTACGCCTGAGACAGGTAGGTTGAGCTGGAGCCAACTGTTCTTTAGAGGGGAGACTCTCCTCACCAAGCGACTGCTCCACCTCCGCCAGCCTGGTGGTCTGTAACGCCCGGGGCATGAAGCTGCAATTCATGCAAGGGTGCTCTGAGAGGCCCTCCCTCAAGTGCTCGAGGCTGAGACAAGAGGGGCAACGATTGTGGCCATCCTCTGGTTGAAGAGGGGCCATGCAAGCACCACAATAATGGGGTGTCAACATGGTGGTAACTCGCGGATACACGAGTAGAAGATACTGTATGTACACATTGGAGCGGAGGTGAAAGCACCACCTAAGCCAGTAAAAGTTACCATTAGTAGCCAATGCCACTAAGTCAGACCCAGCTGACACGCTGTCTGACTGTGGTCTGAGCAGAAACAAGGTACAACCTACCTCGTTATGGGAACGGGGAGTGAGAGCACTGCCGTCACCAACCTTAGGTTGCTTACAAACAGATTCAAACAACCAAAACACAAGGCCCAGCGTTGTGCTTATCTTATTACTTTTTTTTTGATTAGTAGCCAAGAACCTTATTGCCCTTAACTGTAAAACCAAACTACCACAGCTAATCACACGCTGGGAATGGCAGCGAGAGCACTGCCTTCTCAAACAAAATTCAACAGCCACAATAAATACTAGGCTGTGCGACTAAGAAAACGCAAAAAAAAATCAGCTGGAGTGAAAGCGCTCCCGCTCAATTTCCACAAAACGCAACTAAAAGATTATTATACAGAAGGATGAAAGAAGATGAAAAGGAACTGATCCCCTGATGACACCGGAAGATAGACCCTCTCTCGGGTCATCTGGGGTCAAAGGTGACTTTGTTGATATTAAATACTCGACCTGCGCATACATGAGACGGAAAATCCAGTGCTTAAAACACCACGTCTGGCAGTCAGGAAGGATGAAATAGAACTGAGGTGAGGCATAGATCAGGTTGAGGGTATAAAAAAACCTTTTCTAAAGCCCAGGACAATGGTGGCCTCAATAATTGTGAAATGGAAGAAGTTTGGAACCACCAGGACTCTTCCTAGAATTGGCTGTCCAGCCATACTGAGTAACCAGGCCAGAAGGGCCTTGGTCAGGGAAAAGACCAAGAATCCAATAGCCACTCTAACAGAGCTTCAGAAGTCCTCTGCAGAAATGGAGAACCTGCAGGAAGAATGACCATGCCACTGTGAATAAAAGGCATATAACAGCCTGCCAAACAGCATTTAAAGGACTCTGAGAGCATGAGGAAAGAAGATTCTCTGGTCTAATGTGACCAGAAATTTTACTCTTTGGGCAGAACTCCATATACTATGCCTAGTGAACACCAGGCACTACTCAACACCTTGTCAATATCATCCCTACAGCAAAGCATGGTGATAGAGTGTAGATTGATGGTTAAAAATGGCAGTTTTATCAACAATAAAAGTGTGGAAGGTGAAGGGATCTGAATAGTTTCTGATGCAACTCTATGTCTTTAATGAGGAAATTGAAAAATGTCATTATTCTGTTTCAGGAACTCCTCTGTGGAACTTTTTGTTCTGAGATTTTACTGTTGGTGCAGTTCACAATCATATATGTTCTGTCACAGTTTCATGATTTTCTCCACAATAATTTTCTTCAGTTTTATTTTCAATGTATGACTTGTACCCCTTAAGGTGAAGGGTGGTGTGGCAGGCCTGTATGATGGAGCAGAGGTGGTGCTGGGACCAGACTCAGGGCTGCTGCAGCCTGGCCCTGAGCAGCAGTTCATCAATCAGAAGATGAGACCTGGTTCTGGGGTACTGTCAGTCCAGGTGCTGCCAGACGGACCCACTCGTGTCCTGCAGGTGAGAACAAAACCCAGTAAAACTAAAAGGGAATAATAATTTTTCACCACTAATACCAACATATGTTACTTGCCTTTCAGGTAACCAATGGCTTCTTTTCATTTCCATACACTTAGAGAATGTTAAAAGCCATTTAATTTAGGCAGTTATTCACAGGGAAAACAGTTGAGCTCTACTTACTCCATGCTTAACAAAGATACTCTCTCCCTATGAGGCTCATAATTCTTTTTAATGTATATTTTATTTTTGTTCTGTCATGAGTGTACCATTTTGTGGTGAGCATTCAGGATACACTCCCATTAGGTCGTACTTGTATGTAAAGAACTAAGATGAGGGTCTTTATTCTCTTTATTCTTTATACTCTTCATTTGAGCCAGATGGGCACTTAATGACCCCAACTTAGAACATACAGGTCAACTGCTCTGTCGTGCCTCTCCCATTTCATCTGAATGACTATTGGGTTCAATCGCCACTCGCCCAGAGGGGGCTTCCCGCGGGAAAGCATGTCTGCAGCCTGGTTCTGCACCCCTGGCAAATGCATTGCCCTGAGACTTGTGAGGCAAGGCCCACGGAAGAGGGCGGCAGGAAGACAAGGGTCGTTGACAAAAGTCATTCTGACCCTGTTGACCTTGGAGGCCCACGCCTGAAGTGGATGGTGCACCCTTTGGAAAGGGTAGACAACACCCAAGCGTCTGAATTCAGGACTGGCCTGGAAGTCAGGCCCGACCTCAATGACCTTTGGGTGGCCTGGGAGGTCGGTTGGTGGGGTCCCCCTGTTTGGGTGCCCTATCCCTTGGTGCACGAAACACATGCTGTGGAGGGGCCCGCTGGTGGTGCCTCTGTTGAAAAGAAGAGTGTCTGGCTCTTGAAGGGCTATGATATATCCCTATCATCGTAGGTCTGGAGTGGTGGCTCTGGAACCATAATGGCAGCAGCAGTAAGAGGACCACCAGACTGTAAATTAAGAATAAGGGCCTTAATTTGGGCAAACTCTGAGGCCAATGTGTCCACCTTGAGAGCCAAAGGTTCATCATGCTTCTGTTTTTTCTTCATGCTAGAGTCAGTCAGTGAGTGATGATGAACCTCATCATTTCTGCTCACAGACATTTGCTTGGCTTGCCCTTGTTTCAGATCAGTGACTTCAATCAGAGGAGAATGATCCGCAGCTCACCCAGCACAGAACACGATAGGAGCAAGGAGGATGTGAAGAAGAGAGAGCCTGAGCAGGAGCTGGAGGTATGGTTAACTTTGAAATGATTTCATGGCACCATTTTACATGCACCACTGATGTTCATGCCTGGAAAAAATCTCATAGTAACCATACTACACATTCATGAATCCCCACTGCTCTGTTCTTGTTCTGTTGTTCTTTATTTTGAATATATGTTTAATCATATTTATTCCTTATTTTATTTGTTATATTTAAAAACAAAATATCTGTCTGAAATCATTTGCTGAAGCTCATTTGGTTTTACAGTCACTGTGTTGGGGCATTGGCAGTTTATCAATGATTGTAATCAGGAATTTATAAAATATTGATATTAAAAATATTAATAGTAAACAGTAACTTTCAAATTAATTAAAGTTCCTTGGGGGGACCATCCTGAAACAGTAAAAGGATAGCCAATATTGGTGCAGCCTCAGAATGTTGTTAAATGAAGACTCACACCCTTTGAAACGTGAATTTCAGCTTCTTCCTTCTGGATGAAGGTTCATAGTCCCAAAGGGCACAACAAAGCAGTATAGAGGGAGCTTTGTTCCAGCAGCCATCACTCACATTAATAAGTTGAAGTGGAGTGGTACTGCATTGGAGCAATGTTTTGACTTATTTTTGTGTTTATTTTTGTTTACCCTTTGAATGTGGTGTTGCCTGTGCTTTGTGTATGTGTGGGACTGATGACTTTTTTATTGCAAACAGAATTTACTATGGGTACAAATAAAGTAACCTGAACCTACCAAATCAACAATTAATACAGTTTAAGGATTTAGAAGTTCTACTGAGTATAGGTTGGCAATATTCTGCTGTGCTCTGGTATCTGGCACCAGTACGTTATCAGCAGATCCTTTAAGTCCTGTAAGTTGCAAGGTGGGGCCTCCATCTATCAGACTTGTTTGTCCAGCACATCCCACAAATGCTCAATTGGATTGAGATCTGGGGAATTTGGAGGCCAAGTCAACACCTTGAACTCATGTTCCTCAAACCGACCATTCCTGAAGCATTGTTTTATTGTGGCAGGAGCATTCACTGCCATTAGGGAATACTGTTTCCATTAAGGAGTCTACTTGGTGTGCAGCAATGTTTAGGTAGGTGCTACATGTCAGAGTAACATCCACATGAATGGCAGGACCCAAGGTTTCCCAGCAGAACATCGCTCAAAGCATCACACTGTCCCTGCAGGCTTGCCTTTTTCCCATACTGCATCCTGGTGATATCTCATTCCCAGCTAAGCAACACACATGCACCCGGCCGTCCACATGATGTAAAAGAAAACGTGATCCATCAGACCAGGCCAACAAGTTCTGACGTGCCCATTGAAGGCACTTTCAGCGGTGGTCAGCAGACCACAGAGGTAGCTGTGATGCACTGTGTTGTGACACCTTTCTGTCAGAACCAGATTTAACTTTTTCATCAGTTTGTGATACAGTAGCTCTTCTGTGGGATCAGACAACACAGACTATCCTTCACTCCCCATGCACATCAGTGAGCTTTGGGCACCCATGACCCTGTCACTGGTTCACCAGTTGTCCTTCCTTAGACCACTTCTGGTAGCTACTAACCACTGCAGACCAGGAACACTCAACAAGACCTACAGTTTTGGAGATGCTCTGACCGTCATCTAGCCATCACAATGTGGCCCTTGTCAAAGTCACTCAGATCCTTACACTGCCCATTATGCTGCTTCCAACACATCAACTTCCAGGACCAAATGTACACTTGCTGCCTAATATGTGTTCATTTCCAGGTGTTGGTGAACTTGGATGAAGGCCTAGGTGTTTCATTGGTCAACAAGGTTCCTGAGGAGCTTGTGTTCACTACATTGTCTGGTATAGATGTCCACTTCATTCGCACTGCTGCCAACGAGGTGTTGGAGCTCAGCATTCAGAACATCCAGGTGAGCTGACCACAGCTATGAGAACATTCATATATTCAAGTTCATGTTTTATATTTTTGTCTGTACAAAAGTATACAGGGCAGACAGACAGGCCGTAATTTAAAAAACTTAAAACTTCAAAAAAGTAAAAAGAACCAAAAGACATTATGGTTGTCTTATGTGGCAAGCTGCTCTGGACCACACTCATTACTCCAAGTGGTTCTGCCCTGTCCCAGAGGTCAACAGCTATGGAAATGCAGATCCAGACCACTAACTCATCAGCAGGACCCCCACAATCCCATTCAGCAGGAAACATTTGATGTTGATCAACTGATTAGTCGACATGTAACACCTAGTTACTGTATGGCTCTTCAATCAGACAAAATTACATCTGATACCACATTGCTGCATGTACATTGTGCTGGTTTGATCCAGAAGCTTCCTGTGAATACAGTCTGATCAATACTGGAGAGTATTGTAGTGGAGAGTTTTAGTGGAGAGTGTTGTATAAATACTTTTGTCATGTTATGGTTATCAGGTGGACAACCAGCTGCTGGGCACCACCCAGCCTGTGATGTTGTGTGTCAGTCCCAGTTCCAGTGACAGCAGTATCAATGACAGTGGTCCGGCCTTACAGATCAACTCTGTCAAGGTTCCCAGCAACCTCATCCTCACTGATCTCTTCAAGGTGAGTGAGTGAGTGTGAGCGTCTCACGCTGAATCACTGCCTTGTTACATTCAATCACTATGCCCCAAAGAATAATGGGGGGTCCAAGCGCAATTGGTCTGGGAGCCACGCATACAAAGCAATGTAGCTCCCAGTATCAGTGGTGCTAGGAAGCCTATTATTATTCAGATTTTTTTTTCCCCCATTGGTAAAAGTGTTACTGCAGCATAAAGAATGGTGCACACACCCCGGACACCAAAAATGACATGTCTGGTAACCAGAAGAAGTATTTTAGACTGGAACTCTCACATCACAGTCCATCACACATTCAAAAACCTTACATGCATGTGTTTGCTGAAAGTAAATGAATATCCTATTTCCTCCTAGAATTTTTATTTTTTTCAAAATCGTGGAATATGCAAAACATACTTAGGACAGTAGTTTATATCACTCTGAGGGGTCTCTACAAAATTTGGCACAAATCGTCCACTAGGGGGCTCCTGAAACAGGTCCAACTTGCGTTGCCTTGATGGGCGGCCGCGCACAAATGGCTAAGGGGGCTTGGAACCCATTTATACAGGTCTAGTTATAGTTGTCTTTCTTTTTGAATAATTCCTGGTTTCTTGTGCACATCACAAAAGAAACTTTTCTGATGCGTTAGAGTGATACTAGAATCTTGTGATTAATGATGTCACCTTGATGTGTTCACAGCATCTCATGGTGACAGCCCGACGCTTCACTGTGATCATTGAGGAGAAACTCCTGCTCAAGCTGCTCAGCTTCTTTGGATATGGACAGACAGAAGCTGGTAGATTGTTATTTGAATGTCATTGTAAATATATGTTAATATTTATAAGCAGGTCAGATTTTCTTTAAAGTAAAAATATAAATCATATTTGAATGCAGAGCTGGAGAAGTTGGATGAAAACCTCCATGAGAAGCCCAACGAGGATGCAAGTTCTCCCAAACGTTACTACTTTGAAAACCTGAAGATTAGCCTCCCTCAGGTCAAGCTGAGTGTCTTTACCTCTCACAAGCTCCCTCCTGATCTCAAGGTAAACTAACATGGTCATTTTTTACATCTTTATTTTTAAAATGACTCTTCTTCCTTTAGTCAGACTCAATGAAATCATTTAAAGACCCCTTCTCGATGAAAATCATGTTTTTAACCTTGTTAACATGTTGGTTTTATATATTACAAGACACATCATGAATGAAATAATCATCAACACCATGACTGAATGTTTCCACCTTGAAATGCAGTGAACCAGTGACAGTCTCGAAACAGACAAACAGATTCAGACAGGCTGGGTTTCATATGTCACACACCTAATGAACCAATCCTGTCAACTTGTGGGGACGCGGGGGCGGGGCTAAATAAACATGAAACCTTGTGAGTACACAGAGAGAGAGAGAGAGTTAGCATTAGCACAACCACTAACACTGTATCAGCCACTGCCAATTACAAGCTAACAAACAGTAAACCAATAAAAGATGCTAACTACACTAACTGTTCTGATACGTCTGCTACTCTCTGATTCTGGTCTCAACAGACTCCTCATCTGAGTCTGGGTCTGACTGAGGGCAGGAACTCACTGGATGCATGTGCTTTGCGGCTGCGGAACGTCTTAGTTTTCATTTCGGTGCACATGTTAACGGGTTAGAGCGGACACACTGGCTGCATGAGACATGAGGGACATGCACGTCTCGTGCCTCACACCTCGGAGCTATGTGACATGATCCAGAGTTTTGGCCTCTCACCTATTTTATTCATGTAAAGCAACGCAGCAGCTGAGCAATGGTAGCCACCCCACTTATGCATTGCAGGAAGTGTGTTCCTGCGAGGCTCAAACATGAGGCTGAGTCTCTCTGATGTTTCTTCCTCTAATCACCTTGATACTCTCTGCTCTTTCACCTGTCAACCTGGAGCAAGCAGGTGGTGGGCTGCGCATAAGGCCTGATCCAGATTTCTCAATCAGGAAGTAAGAGTAGATGAGCTTCAGACCCAGCTTTCCATTTTTTTATTTCACTTTTTATGTGGGAAAACCATGTTAAACAAAATATTAATCAAAGCAGAGTATTTTTAAAGAGTTTAAAATTTCTGGAAATAAACTTTAATCATTTAAAACTTGTCAAAAGTTATCAATGAGATGTGGTTGCAAACTCTTATGCTGAGAAAAATACATAAAAAGCACATAAGACCATCAATCTATTATCATCATGGACAAAGATATTTTAAGTGTGAAAAGAATTGACAAGAATAAAAAAATCAAAACTGATTATGCTGATATGTGACGATATAGGATAAAGCCTGCGGGATCGGATTAGAAGATTCAGCAGTATTTAAAACCTAGTAAAGGTCTTGAAGTCATTTGAGTCTCAACATGACTATTGGAGTCAGTGACAGGTCAAACTGGTAATTTTTACCTTTTTAGAAAGTAAAGATATAAAGACACAAATAAATCTGAATTAATCAAGACGTAGATTGGTTCAGCCCTGACCATTTGCAAGTACTAGCAAGTGTCACTTACTTAAAAATCAGCCTTAAATTAAGTGAACATTGTAAAGTTCCAGTTTTGTGCATCTATGGATCATGGAAAATGATTTCAATCTGTTACTACATTTTCCGACAGCTGCTCTGCTTTCATATGACGTGTTCTTCATATGGCAATTTTATTTATTTATTTATTTTTTTCATTTTATCTTATTTTCTTTTGCTATAGGCTCTGAAAGGCACCCTGGGCTTTCCTCTGGTTCGCTTTGAAGACGCTGTCATCAACATGTACCCGTTCACTAGAGTGCACCCCTACGAGACCCAGGAGATCATCATCAATGACATCCTCAAGCACTTCAGAGAGGTCAGAGGAACACACATATATATTAAGCATGACTGGGAGTGCTGTTTTGAACTTATTTTTTTAACTGACCGTCACAGTCCAAACTTAGAAAAGAGTTGAAAACATTAAATTTTGGTCCTTTTTCCAGAGAACCTGCATGGTTGATCAGAAGGAAGAAAATGCAATTACTTTATATCGCTAATACAATTTGTTGCATAACTCTTTGTAATGACTGTTCTGTTACTGTTCAGCTTTAAGAATCAAACAATTCTTCATTAAGCTGTGATATTTGCCAAAGGAGGAGTTTTTAAGTACAGACTTAGTAGGGTGCTCAAACTTTTGCACATGCCACAATTACTGTTTATTTATTTTTTAAGACCGTTTCAGTCTTTTTAAACATATTTCATCATTTTGATGCCTTCAGCATTATTCTACAATGTAGAAAAAAAGAAAAACGCAAAAATTCTTTTTGTTTGTTTTTCTTTTCCTACCGATATTTAATGATTATGCTCATATCTGTTAACATGTTTGGCCATAGATGGGCCCAGTCTTTATTCCCTGTTTGTTTTTTTACATTGTGGCCTGCTGCTTCATGCATCCTGAGGAAACAGAGGAAGCTGTGGGTGCAATTAAAATAGTATTATATTAAATTGTACGAATAAAAATCTCCATGTCCTTATTTTTCAATTGTAGAGTCTGAATATTTTTGCAGATACGTCGGTGTGTCATGTAATGTAGTAGCCTGGCGGATCATTATCTGTGTGGTGTTTCTGTATGAAGGAGCTGATCAGCCAAGCTGCTCAGATCCTGGGCTCCGTGGACTTCCTTGGAAATCCAATGGGCCTCCTCAATGATGTCACTGAAGGCGTGTCTGAGCTCATCAAGTATGGCAATGTCGGTGGTCTTATACGAAATGTGACCCACGGTGTGTCCAACTCTGCTGCCAAGGTACATCTCTGCTTAGCTGTATAACTAACTCTTTTTGTGTCTGGTTGCTTTTTGTAGTGTATGTTCAGTATATTTTACAGAATTCTTTTTTGTTCAAACTGGTGCATCATAAAGACTTTTAATTTATTGCTTGGCTGTGGCATTGTTGTTTTATATTATGCAGTTTTTGCATGCATCTGTCTACCCACTTACACATGAACGTATACCTGTAACAAGACTAGGTCAAAACATAGTATACTTGTGGACCGTGTATGGTCAATGTACAAAATTGAGGATGTATTTCGATGATGTTCATTGTGTTGTATTTGCATAGTGTCAGCAGGTTTCAGCCCTTCATCTATTTGTGCTGTGATTTTTGTATTTACATATAAAATGATCACAGAAAATTAGAAACGACGAAAGTATCTCTCTTATCTGTCTCTCACACAGTACATAGCCGTCTTCTGGGTAACTACCATAATAATAGTGGCGACTGTCTTCTATGGAAAGAAGCAAAAGTTTTTTCCAAAAAATTTGTTGCTAGTTGCTTTTTTTTTTTTTAAAGTTGCTAAAGGGGGGTCCAATGGGAAAAGTCCAACACTCGGCTGACCAATGGCTTAACTTCAAACTCAACTCTATCGCTCAATCACTCAGTCACAGACATTTGGGGAAAAATAGTAAAAAGCATGTGAAAATTGTAACAGTGGAAGAGGCCATGTAGTGTAAACATCCTCCTGTTCTCTGTGTGTCAGTTTGCAGGGACTTTATCCGACGGGTTAGGGAAGACCATGGATAACCGACACCAGAGTGAGCGAGAGTACATCAGATACCACGGAGCCACCAGTGGAGAGCACCTGGTAGCAGGGATTCATGGACTGGCTCATGGTAAAACCTGGAAACATTTCTTTGTCTGATTACAGTTACAGCTAGTGGCCAAAATAATTGTTTAGGGAGTTTCTAAATTAGCACTTGAAGCCTCCTGGACACCTGGACATTTTTGGGGAGCTTGAAAAAGATGGCAAAATGTAAACTGTACATTTTTGTACATGTTGAACTGTTGAAAAGTGAGGAGCAGCACATAGAATGTGAATTAATGAGGCCTATAAGAAAAACAAATGTTGACAAGTTTATAAGATGTATGTGCACAAAAAGTTGTTTAGTGTCCTCAGCTGTACACATAACAAAGGTGCAGAATTAGCTGTTAGTTCCAACGATTTGATCAGAACCCTGCATTTTAATAAAGCCATAGATTTTACACGGAACCTGGTGAGGACCAAAAACTGCTGTTTTAAGGAAAGACAGCTCATACTTTTACTGTGAGTTTATGTCCGAATAAACTGCACAAACATTGTGATTGATACTTTGATAAGTGTGACATGCATTCAGAATTATGTGTATGACTTGCTGACAGACATGTAAACTGACTCATTCACAATGTTATCCTTGTAATATGTGAGAGAAATATTTCACCGTCAGCCGTACAGTGTCCTTTCATGATCTACAGCAGCTGATAAATAATGTTTATTAAATCCTGTGTTGACAAATATTTTGCCAGTTTGTGCACTGAGATAAGACATGTGGCATATATAGTTCAGTTCTAAATTATTAATCCCCTTCAATTCTTTCACATTTTGTTATGTTGCAGCCTTATGCCAAAATCAAAAATCACATTTTCCCTCATCAATCGACACTCAATACACCATAATAACAAAGTGAAAACAGAACTTTAGATATTTTTGCAATTTTATTAAAAAGTAAAAACTGAAATATCACTTTGACATTAGTATTCAGGCACTACTATCAAGGTCAGGTTCCTCCCATTTCTCTTGATCATCTTCGAGATGTTTCCACACCTTGGTTGGAGTTCACCTGTACTACATACAAGTTCACCTAAAAATTGATTTCACTTGTTCCCAGCCAGTTGCTTAATTTCTTAATCAAAAAAATGTCCATAAATAAGCTGTCATTACTACTTCCCTGCTGAATCTGCATCCTTGGCTATTGGTTGAACTAACCCAGTAAATTGTGGAAATAACATGCATGGACTCTTCTATGTACAGTATCAAATCAACAGAGGGTTTATTTCTCTGTTGCCCAGTATACAGTATACAAAAGCAGATCAGTCATATTGGCAGTGCAGATAATATCTAATACACACATATCTTAAGTACAGTGAACATACATCAAATTATTCTCTGTAGGATTCAATGTTCAATTCAATCCAGCAACAAAGAATAACTGCTGTGCTGTGTCAGTGCTCAGGGATTAATCAGATGCTTCAAAGCTCCAGTACACTGTTTCCACGGTTTTATTGCTGCAGCCCTGCACTGTATAATCTCATAGGCATCAGTGTACACAGATTGTGCATGAGAAGCTGGACACCTTAGTGATCCCAGTCTTTCTGTTCTACTTGAAGCCACCATCTCTGCAATTTTGCATGTCCTTTTAAATAAACTCCCACTCCCCCAGGTATCATTGGAGGCATGACAAGCATCATCACCTCCACAGTGGAAGGAGTGAAGACAGAGGGTGGAGTCAGTGGCTTCTTCTCAGGCCTAGGTAAAGGTCTGGTCGGAACTGTGACCAAACCGGTGGCTGGAGCTCTGGACTTTGCCTCAGAGACCGCACAGACAGTCCGGGACATGGCTAGCCTCAGTAACCACAGGTGGGTTAAGTCTGTTACCTGTGTGACATGAGCTTCTAAAAAAATGTCTTCACTTCCTTTCTGAGTCAGAGAAGTTTTCAGGTCTCTGCAGAGAAAACATGGAGATCTGAATTTTCTGCAGCTTAACAGATAATAAAAGTGGAATAACAAACCTGGATGTTACAAAGGCGTCTGCTGTGAGAATCAAGTTTAAAGGTTCTGTGAATGAGATTTTATATAGTGGAGTAATGAGCAGTGAAATAAAGTCCAAAAACAACAGATGCACACAGTTAGACAGATATTTCCTCCAGGTGATGATACAGACAAAGTACAGAGCTAAAAGAAGGTTGAATATTGGACTTTTATTCATCAGGTTGAAAAGGAAAAATAACAATGCTCCCTAACTGCTGGATGTGGAAACTGTTGTTGAAAAGAAAAGATCACTATATCAACTTAAAGGCTGTGTTGTTCACACCTTGTTTCTGCTGCCCCCAAGCAGCCAAAAAATGAATTATTGCAGGTTTAAGGTGAGGTAAAGATAGTGGTTTTAGTTAAATATTAATAAAGTAAACACATCTTGTCTTAGGTGACTTTTGACTTTTTTATTAAGATCACCACCTTTTATTAACATTAACTGAGTGCTTTAAGCGCCAATAAGATAAGTAGATTTTATTTTCTCCAGGGGTGAGATTAGTTGCCACAGACTGTGTTTCATGATGCCTCCAGACCATAGATACGTCTACATACAACACAGAACATAAATACATTTCTGCTGAATACATGTATGTTATTGAGCTATGGAATTTAGCATTGACAACGAATTGTAAACAACATTTAGGGATACATTCAGTATGAACATTTTTCTGTGTTTCTGTTTCTGTTTATCAAAAGTGTGTCCTTATTATATTAACAAAAACATAGTAATAATTATTTAAGATAAAGTAATTTAAGATATAAGTATGGCATCCAGAACTTGGCTTGACAGGTCTGTGAGGTTCCTGCTTGAGCAGTGTTGTGTATTGTGTGTAAAGTGTGTGTGTTGTTGTCGCGTTGTGTAGGCTCAGTGTACAGCGGGTCAGGAAGCCTCGTTGCTGTAAAGGACCCCAGGGTCTTCTGCCTCGATACTCTGCCACACAAGCTGACGGTCAGGAGCAGCTCTTCCGCCTCACAGACAACATCCACTCTGAGTTGTGAGTCTCACTCATTTCACTGGCTGAGTTTAATACCGTATTACCTGCAGTTCCTTCAGACAGAGGTGTTAACTCTCATTTCTCCCACCAGCTTCATTGCAGTGGAAACCATTGACAGCTACTGCGTCCTCATTTCCTCCAAAGTGGTCTACTTCCTGAAGCCAGGGGACTATGTGGACCGTGAGGCCATCTTCCTAGAGGTCAAATATGATGACCTCTACCACTGTCTGGTCTCTAAGGATCATGGAAAGGTGTATGTGCAGCTCACCAAGAAGGCTGAGAGCACCAGCAGTGGTGTGGCCATTCCGGGCCCCTCCCACCAGAAACCAATGGTGAGACACCCATCTGACTGATCTTTCACTGACAGCCTCAATGTTTCCTCACTTCCCTCCACTGGTCTCTCTCCATCAGATAGTTCTGGTTGTATTTGTCCAAGTTTTTAAATTTCTGCCTCAGCATTTTCCAGGGGGTGGAGTCTGCACAGCTGGCCATCACTGATTGGTCAAACACAGCCACTGCAGCCTCTTATCATTCACAAAACAAGGAAGTACTCTAGCATTAACATCGGTATGAGAATCAGCCTTTTCTTGTTGTTTATTAACATTAAAAAGCAAAGTTAGGCTTTGCTGTCGGATTCACTGCTTTTGAAAGACAGAGATGATGTGAACAAGCTGAGAACATGAGCAAGCTAGAGAGTGAATGAGAGGGGGGGTGTACAGAGAGCAAAGAGAGAGAGGGTTTATTATTTAGATAGTTTCACTGTAGTTATGTTCTACAGAAGAAATAAATACCCATCAAATTCTCAGCATTCAACAAACTGCAGCCTCCATCAAATTGAATCAACACGTCTCCAAAACAGTTTCAACACAAACTGAAGAACTTTCATGAAGGAGAATTTATTACTGGCCTGTTGGATTAGACTGCATTAGCTTTAGTTCAGTGTACCGAATAAAATGTCAACTGCTGCTTGTCTCTAGACCAACATCTCTGATTTTTTCAGTTATTCAAATATTTCTAGCAAAGCCCTTATAGGCAAGTCTCACCACTTGGCAGCCATCTTGTCAATGCCCCCAGATAGTTTTTGTGTCAATGTTTGGCTGCACCCTTGCCAATCCTACAAACCAGGCCTTCTACAAACCGCACCCCCTTCAAACCATTTTTGGTTCAACTTCCTTCTACTTCCTTTACATGCGTCCTTCACATTCATTCTATGGCTGGATATACTTTACTTTTCTATTCTTTTCCACAGGTTATACAACGCACGCACAAGGTTTCACAATGCCAACTTCTTTTGCGGCTCAGTCGGGAAGCAGCAGGCATCCCTGTTTTTATGCCTCTGTGCCAGCGACAGTCAGAGCAGGAGGCCGTTTTGTTTTCAGGTTGTTTTCAGGTTGACCTTAAAGGAACTTCTTCAAATTTGACACAGACATTCACCTGGACATACATTTTGGTGGTCAAAGGTCAAGGTCACGGTGACCTCACAAAATGTGGTTTTGGCCTTGTGAACCGATATCTCCATAACACACTGAGTGAATTTCTTCAACTCTGGCACAAACATTCACTTGGACTCAAGGACAAACTGATTAGATTTTGGAGGTCAAAGGTCAAGGTAACATTGACCTCACAAAACACTTTTTAGCCATTACTCAAGACTTCACAGCAATTATGACAAAATTTCACAAAAACGGTCCATATTTTTATGACTCTGAATAAACAGGGATGTAATCTGGAGCTAGTCTGAGTGGAGGAGGCAGACGAGCACCAGGAGGTGATTCTAGTTCTTGTAGAGACTCACCCTTTAGTCAGGAGAATTACAACACATGAATCCCACCTGTGGGTGTGACATCACCCTCTGCATGCTGCTCACCTACACACTCATCATCTTTCCAGGGACTGAAGGAAAAAGACAGTCTACCTTCACCTCAGAGTGACCATGAATGTTTCCAAGTGCACCTTCATTAAGAAAACCCTGAAAACCTCCAGAAACATCAATCCTGATCACGTCTGTACGCGACACAGTCAATGAAGAGTGCGAGCGCTGATTGGTTGTCACATCTCTGAGCCCATCAGAGCAAGAATATATGACTATGATCATCTGAAAAGACTAAAATATTCTGTAGATTAATCAGGTGATCATGGCCCTGCCCTGACCTGGCCAAGTGACATGTCAAATTATACCTGTATTAATTTGTGGTCTTTCAGGACCTGCATGACAGATAGACTTCTTAGATCAGGAATGTTAGTGACTGTGTGGAGTACATTGTACATGTTGATGAAACTTGTTTTTACCCCTAACACCGTCTGTCTGTCTGTCTGTCTGTCTGTCTGTCTGTCTGTCTGTCTGTCTGTCTGTCTGTCTGTCTGTTTGTTTGTTTGTCTGTTCAAGAACTAATGTCACAATCCTCTCCACAGGTCCATGTGAAGAGTGAGAGTCTTGCCATCAAAATCTCTCAAGAAATCAACTATGCCAAGAGTCTGTACTACGAGCAGCAGCTCATGCTGCCTGCCAGTGAGAATGAGGACTACTTACTGCTGGAGTCCTGATCACCTGTCTGAAGGATTCCAACCTTTCTTAAATCCTGAATGGGTAATGACTTTTATTGATTTTTGTAGGCTTCTGTTTTGACAAGCTGCAGTAAAGGGAATAGTCAAGCAACCATGCACGTGGTTTAGTGACATGGCCTGATACTTGACAAAGCACATACATGTACATTACATAAATAACATATGCAAGACAGTGTTAGTTTGACCGTGTATATGTAAAAAACACTTGTAACAGCAGATGTACACATCCTACAGCTGTTCTGTATTTTGTGAATAGACAGAAATGTAAATAGAGCTACACACCAACACTAACGTAGTGTGCATACTTGACTGATTATGAAGTACGGAGAATAACAACAGATGCTGAAATAAAGTCAAATGTAACAAACTGCCTTTACAACTCTATGTGTATAAGAGACTATGACTGTGTGTGTGTTGGGGGTTAGGGTTGGGGGGGGGGGGGGCTGTAGCTCCCTTGCCTCACACTGGAGCTGTCTGTCACTGTCTCTGCCTTTTTCAATCAAAGACCTGCATTTTAATGAGCCTGCTGTTCTTTCTTACCAGAGTTCTCCTCTCAAAGACAATGTGGACTTCCCTCTAACCAGGCTTCTCTCTAAATTTAACACAACTTGTTGAAGAGACGTTTGTTAACTGTCAGAGCTTTGGGGTTTGGTTTGGTGTCAGATGAGATTTTCTTGAGCTGAGTTTGAATTGTGTGGTAGAGAGGAGAGAGGAGTTCATGATAGGCCTCAATTTGTGATTTTGTAAAATACTGTTCACATAGACACTGCTTTAAATAAAGCACCACAACTTCAGCACTCATTGTGTGGGACATATTATTTCCAAACTCTATTATCTCCAAAACAGATGTACAGTATTCAATCATATACATACATGTATATATATATGTGTGTGTGTGTGTGTGTGTGTGTGTGTGTACCGTAGCTGCTCAGGCTCTGTGATTATGGAGTGTTGATTGAAGAAAAAATGATTTTAATATTTGAGGCTTCAACATAATAAAATGTGAAAAAAATGAAGGGGACTGAATACTTTCTGAATGCACTGCACCATATTGATGTTGGACATCATCATTAGTGACAGTAGATGCAAACATTTTCCAGTAATAATTTTGTGATTGACCTGGATCCCAATTACTCCACAATCTAATAGTAACACTGGATTGTGATCAACTCATTTTAATTAATACTGATTGATGATTAGAAGCTGAAAACTAATGACAATTCAGTCAGCCTTGTGTGGTGACGGGAAAATTATACCTGATAAACAGCATGCTAGCATTGTCGCTGTGGGCCGGTAGCATGCCGATGCATTTAGCCACTGGGTCTAAATACAGTAAGAGGCTCCAACTGCCAACCTCAAGTCTGAGGACACCATATGTGAGTGTGTCACTTCCACCACAAAAGTATAAAGCTAAATAATGTGACTATCACTTTTCCCATGATTGTTTTTTGTCCTCTTGTCTCAGAATGTATAGCTTCTAAATAATAGGGATAGAAATATAGAAAAAATAAAATAATAATTTTTGATGAAGCCTTTGAGAGTGTGTGGAAGAAGAGCAAACTCAGTCACTATACGTGAGCAGCTGCACAAGGGAATAAAAGCTTCAGATGTTTTTCTGTAAGTTAGTTGATTTCTGAGAACTTTAATAACATTAAACCTCCCTCACCACAGAATAAACAGCCTGACCAGTCAATACCTGATGGCAATGTTCGGTCTGAGCAGCCCTCATGACACTCTCACATGGCTCTGTCTGACCTCCACATATGAATGAACACATCCATGTTTTTAGCAAGTAGAGTGAAGTTGAGAAATGCTTTTATTTTTGTAATATTGTATCTTGCAGTGTCCTATATGGGTTATACTGGTGATGGAAAAATGTCTTATCTGGTCTGGTGTCAACATGAGATGTGGCTGTGCTGATTGATGTGATTGGTATGGCCTGGACCATTCTCCATTCTCCAGTGCCATTATGCCTGGCATCTGGTGTGAACCTTGTACTCACTAGGTGGCATCACACACTACATCCAGGATTTTCCTTAGTATGATACAGTGAGAGCCTCATACATACTCATCATAAGTGAGAGTATAACCTATCTGCAAAGCTGCTCACAGAGTGACAACATGTTCAGCAACTGGATCTTTGTTCTGTGTCTGATGCTGCACCAGGATCTGTCCTCTCTCTCAGGGTCCTGCTGCAGCTTTAATGTTATAGCAGCGCTGAGTGATGCTGCTAACAGCTGGGTGGAGGTTTACATTCTGACAGGGGCCTCAGGTGGTGGTGGTGGTGGTGGTGGTGGTGTGTGGAGGTGCAGCAAAGCCACAGGTCACGTCAGCTCGCAGGTGAAGCTCAGCAGCAGTACCATGGAGGATAATGTGAGGGAGTGCCAACTGACTGCTGCATCAATAGCTGCACACAAACAAGACAGCTTGCATTACAGAGCACTGCTTCAGTTCACTATGACTGTGACATGTTGATATCAAATGTTCCAATTCACAGAATAACTTAACCATTAAAGGATGTGTACATTCCATATTTTTATTGTCATCATATGAAGAGCCAGTAATAAATGTATCCTACTAACAAGTATCTTTTTTTCAATCAGAAATTAGTAAAAAAAATATTTTGTTTGATTAAAATCACTGTAATTATCTCAATTTAAAAGATGCTGTATTAACATAAAAACTAATTACTGAACTAACTTATTATTATTTTATTGAAACGTTGATTCAGAATTACTTTTACATTGCTGTTGTTCTGGCTAACAGGAGCTAACTGGCTTATTCTCAGTTGTTGAAGTTGCTAGATTAGTAGGTGTTTTAATTCTTATAAAACCAAATTATGAAATAAAAAGTGGTATAAAATAGAAATCCTATCAGGGGATTTATTATCTAATAAAAACAGACTTAAACATGTCTATTTTGAAAAAAAAAGTCCTATAGACCTTATGAAAATAATAGTGATGAAATAATGTTTTAAAGTTACGTTTTAATTTCTTAAATCATTTCACAAAGTATTCATGATTATGTATTTTAGTTTCTTGTTTATTTATTGAACACTGAACACTTTAGGGCTCTATCAGTGTTGTACAAAGCAAAGTTTCTGTTACTGTCATTGTTGTTAGAAATGCTCAAACAGCCAGACACAGGAGCCTGGATGTAAGAGCCTACTAATGGTCCATTACACTGATGGGAAAGTTAGCACAGTAACAGTTGTAACAGAAAAGAATAACCTACCAATAAAATGTTTCTTCAGTCTTGGGTTTTCTGCAAAAACACACAAAATAAAAGAAAACATTTACTGTGAGCACACTTAATGATAAATGATTAGATCAAATCCTCACATATACTGACCCACCAAACACAATGAGGCGGGTGTGGGTATCTGTGGAGCCTAGAGGATTCTGGGCTGTGCAGCGGAACATGGAGCCGTTGAGCTCAGCAGGAACTCTCTCTAGAATAAGCTCCCTGCCGTCATGCTCCTCTCTACCATCCAGCAGACGTCCGCCGACCTTGGTCCAGGTGAACATGGGCTCAGGGAAGACCTCACTCTGTGGACATACACAAACACACACACACACACACACACACAGGTGTGCAAGCAGAAAGCTGCAGGGAGATCAAGGTGAAAGAACCCTAATCCTTTTACTGCCCAAGTACTCTGGTGAAAACTGCTGATCTTGTTTGAATGTTATTAATGATTAGCCTCACCAACTGTCTTAATATCAAACTTAAAACTATCTACTACATGTATTTTTGGATCATGTTTGTTTACACTTTGGCCATATCGGCACCATCAGTGGTACTGCATTGTCTGCAAGACCCTGCAACCCTGGGTTACTTTAATACTACAGACAACTGAATTTAATTACTCAATGGCCACATCTGGAGTTAGACAGAGTATCTTATATTTAATTAGATTCTTTTCTATGTTGATGGGCTGATACTGATATCACTGAAAGGACTGTCATCTGCTGAATCCAGCAGAGAGGTTTCTGTGTGATCAGGTTTCACTGAGGTGCAAGTTTAAGACAATTTGTCAGTTGGGTGACAGGTTTGCTTGGAGAAAAAGTGTCAAGAATATGTAGGATCATAAATCATGCAGACATAATATATTGAGTCCAGCAGGCTGACAATGAGCTTTGTCAGTTCTATCAGTTAAAACAAACAATAGTGGCGTAACACATCGAAAATGTGCTTAATGTTTATGAACAGGCTTTCCTAGAAACTGGTGTAGCAGTGAAAATCACCAGGAGTGGAATTTAAGGAATATTCCAGGATTTTGGAAGCAGTTGAATTTAAACAGAGGGAAATAATTTGCATCTAATATGTCATGAAGACAAAAATTACTACTCCTTACTTACTGCAGGTCACTCTGCAAAAATAACATCTGTTTCTGAACAAACAATAAAATTAAGTCTATTAAACTTTGAATGTGAAAATGCTACTCTAAAGGTTAGAAGAAAAACACTACTTTAAAATGTGCTCAGTGTTCAGACTAATGCTCACCTGTTATACAGACAGAAATTCATCCAAACACTTTCTTACACTGTGATTTATAATAAGGTTTTCATACAGATGCATCCCACTAACTCAATGTCTTGTGGTTGATTGGAAAATGTAAATATCCTTGCACTCACAAATTTGAATAGGATGTCAAATATTGCCTCAGAACCATTTCAGAGTGTTCTTGAAAGAGCCAGTATGGAGTGTTTTAGCATTGCCCATGACAAAATGTCATTCAAGTCTCTGCAAGCTGACTTTCAAAGGAAGAACTGAAACCATGCGCTGCCTGCAGGAAGGAATGCTCCATCCATGATCCAAGAATGTATGGCACACTTGGAGAAGTGGTCATTAGATTGCTTCTTTTATTATGTGTCCTACTTTCTGGTGGCGTTTTTTGAACTTTCCCTATTCAAAGGGCTACATTGTTGGAAACTCACTGCAGAAGGTCCCAGCTGGAAGCCTTGGACAGTGATCCGCACTGTGTCTCCCACCTTGGCCTTACCGGGGCTCATGGTCAGCTTGGGTCCTCTGGGAGCAGCTGATAGAAAGGCAAAATACCACAGTGGACCATAGTTGACAAAGTAAGACAAAACTTAACTTTCAGATGTCTTAATAACAGGAAAGTCATCGTATAATAATAGTACATATAGTACAAGGATCTACCAACCAGCACAGTACATGTCCACCACTACATGGTATAAACCATCTAAAAACTAACTGTGCTGAATGTCATGGTTTGCCTTGATGGACTCTTTATGTTTTTGTTTTATTTCCTGTTTTATTTTGTAATCACTTCCCTTGTGTGTCTCCTGTTAGTTTTACTCCCTGTCTTTGTCCTGTTTCCCTCCTTTGTGATTGTCTGCCCTGTTTTAATGTGTTAAACCTGTGTTCAATCACCTGTGCCTCCCTTGTGTACTTAGTGTTTGTGCTCCCTCTCGTCCTTTTCTGTCTGTTGTTAACCTGTTCAAATCCTGATGTCCTCCGGTTAAGTTCCTGTTCACCTTCATTTTGGATTGTGAGTTCTCTGCAGTTTCATCAGTTTTCTAAGTTTTCTTTAGTTATTAGAAGACCTTTTTCCCACCTATACCATTTTGTGTTTTCTACATTTGGGTTTCGTTCTCCTGCATACATAACACTGAAGGCCCCTCTCCGTTTTTGTCATTCTTAGTCTAGTTGGAATTAATCAATCCAGTGGCTTGCCTATTTTAATTCTTCATAATTCTGAATTTGTCCTCCAAGAAGTGTGGGTGAATGGAAATTTTATTTGTAGTATATTCTGCGTTTTTATTGTTATAATCAGGTGATCCAAGTAATTGTGTTGACAAGGGGAAGTGACTGACGCCAAACTCCTACACCACTTTCCCTCCAATCACAAGAACTCAAACAAACTTGAACAATCTTCCTGGCAGAGTACGCCCCTAAACGAATGCTAGGAAGCTGACTTTCTTTTTTTGGTTAATCCATAGTCCACCCTTTATGGAACTAAACAGATTTTATCTGGTTTTTCAGCATTATGAACTTTACATTGTGCCACAAGAATGCAAGGAGCAAAATGGGATGTGATGTTATTGAGTGGATGTGAAACCGTTTATGCTTGAATATCCTTTCCATTTAGTTGACTGTGATAAAGAATGAGTCTCCATGGGCAGCAGGGATAACAAACACTGAGTGGACTGCCTGAAGAGATTTTCTAGGGATCTTTACATCCTGCATGGTAAAGGCCACAGTATTCTAGGGGTAGCTGAGCTGACTGATATTCCTGCAAGTCTTTGGTCAAAGTCTCCCTTCTGTAGTTGGGATTTGGAGATCATTAAATGTTTTCAAATCTGATTAACTACAAGTAAATCAGAAAATCTTCATGAATATTCATGAAGGGTATGATGTCATATGTTGGCTGCAGGTTGGCTTGGCTTGTTTTGTTTTGTTTTTGTTTTTTTGGAACTGAATTGCTGTCAGTGTGTTCGGTTGTATCTTAACCCAAGTAAGCAGAAGGTGAGAGGTTCTGTCAGTGTTGGGCTCAGTGTATGAAACTACACTATTTCATGAAAGTAGTAAGTTCCAGGTTTACACTTATATTTATGAAAAAATGAGTACCAGTAAAATGATTTGTTTGTTCACTTCCTTACAGCACTGTCCTAGGAGCGTGTCTGAAATCAATGGTTGTGTTCATCTCATCACCTCATGATCAGAGTGACTTGGCTCAGATAGATTCTCTGTGCATTAACATAGAGTTGTTAGCTCTAATTAGCTCAGCCAGTGTGTCAGTGCATCATGACTCACCCAGTGTGACCTCAGCCTGCATGGGCATAGACAGAGCTGGGTGGTTGACCTCACAGCTGAACAGAGCCTCATTGTCCAGCTGGGGGTTGAGGCTCCAGGTCAGCATGGCTCTCACCTCCATGGTGCCATCTCCTGCTGCCTGCTGCCGGTGCTGGAAGTAGTAGAGTGGGTCACTGCTCTGGACCCAACGCGGAAACTCGCGGCTCACCACCGTCTCAGGTATCACCTCAGAGGTTGGCTTGGGATCGGATTTGGACCCCTGCTCTCGGCCCGGTTCAGGGCCCTCGGGCCCGTCTTGGCCCAGCCGAGCTAGCTTCCCCTCTTCTTCCAGCAGGGACAGGGACTTGTGGAGTTTGGTGTCATCAAGGTCTCGACTGCTGAGAATCCGGGAGCTCCAGAGCCCCGCCTGGCTTTGATCTCCCACTGTGGAAGATGACTGGGCAGTTGGCACTACATCAATAAGCTCACCATCCCGCTTGAAGTATACCTGACAGGCAGAAACAAAGACAGGTGAGCTCAACAGGAACAGGCACAACAGTGGAATAACCCTGACCCTCTGGCAGAATCTCCATTTTAAATGATAGAGGAAACTCGGAGGACTCACTTTGTTAATCAAATCATTTTCATCAGTTCAAAGATTTGTAGTCACTGTTCATTTTTTGTTTGTTTTTTAAGCCAAGCAATCACATGACTTTGAGAGTGAAGGTTAACTCGCTGTAGTAACTGTTGTCTTACTCATGACTATAAGAAAAGTGTGGTGTTTAAACACATCATTCATTTTGCTCTCTTCACAGAGACTGGTGTCCCTCAATGTCAATACTGCGTACCAGTATCCATGAGGTGTTAGCTTGTTCTCAGCTGACAAGACACAACCAACCTCAACTTCAATCAGATAATCTGACTTCTACAAATGTTACATATGTATAAAGAAATGGACTATGGATGTGAACTATTAACAATGGATGGATTCAGAAAACCTGAAAAAATCTGTGATGTTTTGGCCCTTTTGAAAAAACAAACATCTGGATGACATAACATGTTCCAAAAAACAAGCTAGCAGCAGAAGAGAAAACAGCACAACAATGCTACCTTCAGGAGGTAGAGCAGGTGGTCGTCCACTAATTGGGGGGTCAGTGGTATTGTGTGTGTGTGTGTGTGTGTGTGTGTGTGTAAGACTAGAAAGCGCTATACAAGCGCTGTCTATTGACCATTTTAAACTGCTGCTGAAGGCAGTACCACACTGTAGAATCACTAGTACTACAAGGAAATGTTTTGCATTCAAAATTTTACTTTAAGTACAATTTATGGCTAATTCTGCAATATCTGAACTATGTATCAAAACTAAACATTTGCTTTATGCAACAGATTGCCCCTTGTCAGTGTCACATAGCTGTATAATGACGATTAACATGTCAGTTATTTTTCATGTACTGTAGCTACACCTCAAACTGGAGGAGGAAACTTCTGTATATAGTGTTGTGTAGTTTCATCCTTAACAATGTCTCAATTTTATAAACTCATCACAGCTTATCTTTATAATATGTATAAGTGTTGATATACAATATTCAATTCAATATTAATCTGAAAAGTAACAAAGCTGTCAGACAAATGTAGTAAAATAAAAAGTACAATATTTCCATCTAACATTAGTTAACATCTTATATGCTGATCTAAAACAAGAAGTGCAATGGTAGCGCAATTTAACACAATCTTTTTTTAGATAGATGGATCTGCTGACCAAGGCCACACAGACACTCCCCAACTGTGGACCTGGAGCCAGCAGCCACAGGCGAGCCAGCAGAGAAGGTGCCATGACCCAGTTCCTTGTCATCAATGTTTGGCGAAATCATAGCAGAAGAAACTCTGCAGCAGGACCATGGCGACAGCGCGGCACTGTCAGAAATGATTATTTACCTTTCAGAGCCACTCATCTCTCGGAGTGCACAACCACTGGAGTACTGAAAAACTAACAAGGATCAAGGTTTTTGTTCTGTTCTGTTCTGTTGAACAAAATTAAAGCATACTGTCAACTGAATAAGGATGACTTTTTGTGGTCCTTTTATTAGGTGACGCTGCCACCTATTGGCGGTCCCAGTACACTACAAAGCTAAGCAGACTGACCAACTGCTAAACCAGCTGCTTTAACGACATACAAAAAATTATCGGCATCAGCCATGGATTAGCCAATCACACTCACAGATGATTGGTATCAGTATCGGCAGCAAAAAAATAAGAGCGAGGCATCCCTAATTGATTGTTTTGTTTTGTTAGCACTTGAGCTGCCTTGATGAATTCTTAACCTCTGTTGGTGAGGGCTGTGTCTTTGCTCCCTGCTCCCAACACCAGGCCATAGTTGGTGTCAGTGCTCTCGCTAACACTGACTTGGCTGTTGATAACTTTAACTGGTCTAGGTGGTGTTTTCACCCCGCTTCCAGTGTACAGTGTCTCTGGTGGAGTAACCACTATACTGACCCCTCATTACTGTAGTGCCTGTATGGCCCCTCTTCTGCTAGATCATGGCCATGATCTTTGCCCCTCTTGTCTCGGCCCCCGACCACCTGAGAGAGAGCCTACCCGTCTCAGGCGTAAACGGGCTGAAGTGCTTGTGCGGGGGTTATTATGTGGTGGCATGCATGGGTTGGATTGGCAACTCCCTCTCTCACCTCATGCTTGCTCTCAGCTTCCCTGCAGGAAGTGGGGGTAGATGCTTCCATTACCAGCCTCAGTGATGCTTCACTGCAGGTGTTTGCCTTCATGTTGAGAGAGCTTGGATGCCTAATGTCCGCCTTGGTGCATACATGCCACAAGGTCTGGCTCGCACAGTCACCCCTGATGGAGACATGCAGGAGGACCTCTCCCTGCCATCACCATCATCCCGCACCGGTGGCTACCATGGGCCTCAGCGCCCAGCTGGCTTGTCCTCAGGCTTTTCCCCAGCAGCAGCTCAGATGCTGGGCTGCTCACAGTTCAGATCCCTGGGAGGTTTCCACCTTGGCCCAAGTGTATAAGATCAAATTCGGACACCGGCCCCCAGCTTCCAACCAGGTCACAATAACCATCATCAAGGACCCAGCAAAGGCTTTAGCCCTGAACCAGGAGCTAGCCATCCTTCTGACCAGGGGTGCATTAGAACTGGGTCGCACCCCAGAGGGTTCTACTCAACTTCTTTTCTGGTGAAGAAGACAGGTGGGTTTCATCCAGTCCTTGACTTAAGCGGGCTCAACAAGTTCCTGAAGGTACTGATATTCCATATGGTGAGCACAACAGGCGTGCTTTGAACTATTTCCCCAGGGGAATGGTTCATGTCCATCGATTAGAAGAACGCTTACTTTCATGTCTGCGTTGCGCCTTAACACAGGCAATTTTTTGCCTTACAAGGCCATTGTTTTCTTTTCCGGGTGCTTCCATTGAGTCTCTCCCTCCCTGCGTGGTGGCGGCCCACCTGCCCCTGCTGTCATGGGGCATGTAATCCTATCGTACCGGGGTGACTGGCTGATCTGTGCACCATTCAGGTCTCAGGCGGCCCAAGATACAGCTCTCCTCCTCTCTCATGTGGCCCAGCTGGGTCTAACAGTCAATTTCAATTTCTTCAAAAAGGGCAAGTCGTTGCCGTATATCCAGTTCCTGCACCTCTTGGGCAAATGTACAGTGGCCTCACCCATTGTTCCCTTGGGCTTACTGTCTCTGCGTTGTTTGCAAGGATGGCTGAACAGCCTCCATTTGGACTCCAAGTGGCACAAACATAGGAGGCTCAGAGTGTCACGGCAGTGCCTCCTCACTCTGTTCCCACTGGGGGAGAAGTCTTACCTGGAGAGGAGTGTCTCCATGGGCTCCATCCTATCTCGCAGAGACACCATCATGACGGATGCCAGCCTCTCAGGCTGGGGTGGACTTTGGCAGAACAGGGCGCTACAGGGGCAATGGTCTTCACAGGACTGTACAGTGCATGTCAATGTGCTAGAACTATGGGCTGTGCACATGGCTCTCAAACACTTCCTGTCATACCTGAGGGGGAAGCATGTACTTGTTCGGTCGAACAACACCTTGACCATGTACCACATCAACACCGGGGGGGCACCAAATCAGTATGGTTACTGAGGGCATCCTGGGACTTGCTGACATGGGCAGCCCTGTGGCTGACTAGCTTGCTGTTTATGTATTTGCTGGTGGAGAGGAACATGGTTGCAGACTTCCTCTTCCATCACAAACCCCCACTGGGGGAGTGGTGACTCCATCCAGAGATGGTGCACACCATCTGGGGCTTTTTCAGCAGGGCAGAGGTGGATCTCATTCTCTCCCTCTGGTTCTCCTTGATGGAGAAGACCAGTCCTAACTTTATGCCTTCCCACCAGTTTCTCTAATATTGCCTACACTTCAGAGAGTCCTCCAAGAGGGCCACAGAATTCTGCTTGTGGCCCACTTTTGGCCAGCGTGGACATAGTTTCCTCTCCAGCACAGGTTCTGTCACAGTTCACTGTGGCGCCTCTCTGACAGGAAGGAGTGCCCCTAGAGGCCATATGTGCCATGGCCTCATGGGCATCACTGAGCACATTCTCTAGGTTCTACAAGGTGAATGTTGCCACCCCACAAACTCTGGGTGTGGTAGTTCTACCGAGTTCCTCTAGGTCTTCGCTGTGAGGTATGTGTTTGGGATTCCTTGTGACATTGTTGGTACTAATCATCCAGTGCCTAAAACACCACCTCTGGTGTTCATGAAAGATGAAAAGGAATGGAATTTACAAATGTAAAGCGGTACTTTAAGCACTGGATCTTCCGTCTCATGTATGCATAGGTTGAGTATTTTATATCAACAATGTCACGCCTGACCCCAGATGACCCAAGAGAGTGGGTATATCTGCTGGCATTATCAAGGAATCTGTTCCTAGAGAACCTTGAGAGCTCACAATGTTTCTGAGTGACTGAACACTCTGGCAGTCATCCAGGATTCCTTTCAACCAGAGAAGTAAGTAATTCTTCTATAAAACTGAATTGTTTAATCTCGGGTTTACACGCATTACATTGTCCGTGACCAATTAAAACCTTTAACAAGAATGGTAAATGGTAAATAAAACCATGTGACTATTCTAAATGATACAAAAATAGGAACTGAGCTCATTTTCATAAACATTTGCTAGGGAGAGGGGGGTGAAATAGCTGTTTGAGGGTAAAGCCTTGGTTTTAGGGTTACGGGTTAGGTATTGACTTTTGATGGTTAAGGTTAAAGTAAGGGGCTGGGGAATACATTATGTCAATAACGGATCAAAGTACAAACAAGGGATTTGTGTGTATGTGAGTGTGTTTGTGTGTGTGTTGAGTGAGTGAGTGAGTGAGTGAGACCTGTAGTTTTGTTGCCAGTTTTTACTCCACATATATTACTTGTGTTGGAACAGTTGTTTATGGAGAATAAAAGGAGAATTTATGGAGAATTAAATTTTCTAGTGGCTGTTTCTGGTACTGCATGCAGTTTAGTAATTGTGCTTCCTGTGTAGCATAGAAGAGTGAGAGAGGGGAAGTCCCTTCTCTGCAGCAGAGTGAAAGCAAAGAAGACCATCTTTATCCATTCGTTTGTTTGCAGACCTTTGAGTGGCATTATAAGTACGTTTAATGTTTATCATTACTGTGTGAATGTTTTTCATTATATTGTTTTTGTCATTTGTTCAAATAAACGAATATTGACTTAATGTGTGACTACACATGGTGTTGGTTTAAATTGTTCATAGCATACTTATCTCATGCATCTACCTGGGCATTTCCCTCATCATATTAGGTTTTGTGCTTAACTGCTTTCCTACCAATAGATAGATAGATAAGTAGATAGATACTTTATTTATCCCCTAGGGGAAATTCATGTGTCCATTAGCTCATTGTTGATAATAATAATAATAATAATGATAACAACAGTTGATAATAAATAAACAATTAATTAGATTAGTCCACTTCCTTTGGCTGAGGTGTTGTACAGCCTGATGGCAGTGGGAACAAAGGATCTCCTGAACCTCTCTGTTCTGCAGCGCAGTGAGATGAGACGTTTGCTGCACCTGTAGCTGCTTCTCTGTCCTGCCAGAATGTTGTGGAGAGGATGATTGGTAATGTCCAAGATGGCCTCCATCTTACATTGCGTGCGTCTCTCCACAAAAGTCCTGAGTGAGTTCAGACTCCTGCCAAGCACAGACCCAGCCTTTTTGACCATACAATAGTGCACTGATAAGATTTTACTTACTAATCTGTATTTTTCCTGTGCCTTTTTTGTCAGTTTCACACTTCTTCATATTAAATCTGCCTAAAACAATAATTGTTCTACTGTATTGTTCTCTTATACTATTCCTTGGAGAAATAGTATGAAGAGGAGTTTAGCTGGCTGTGAAAACTCAATATCAGCTCACTAGGAGGACACTGGGGGAAAACAGTGCATTACTGAAAGCTATAATATTATCCAGACATTGTACTTGTGCTGTGCATACTGCTCCATTTATAAATGCATGTGTTAGTGGACAGCTTGCAGCTCGTTGCTACTGTGTTAATCTTGTTTACTGTTTGAACATATGGTCATGTGACCAGAGAGATTGGTGTCTGCCATCATCACTATTTACCACAACTACAATAGCTCAGTGTTAGGCTGAGGTGACCTTGGTTAAACAAAGAGAGCTGTTAAAACGGGCAGTCCAGTTCAGTAGATAAACACAGTAAAAAATTGTTGTCTCATTCAGGACACGTGAAACTATGCTTCACTGGAGTTTTATTTCATCACATATGCAGCTGTCCTTTAATCCCCTAATATTAATGAAATACACTTTCCAAAGAGGTCACACAGGGTATAGCTGTAAATAGCTTTTTTCATTTCAAACTTTCAATCCACTGCAGCAAGCATAAAGCAAGGACATTGTTTGCTTTTTTTTTCTGTGTCCACTTCAAATCATTGCTTCCAATGCCATCCTGCAGTCAACATAAAAGCATTCTCTTTCACTGTATCAGGATTTCTTAAAAGACTTTAGAGTTGTTTTCCATGATCATAGATTAATGGATGGATGGATGGATCATAAAGCTTTCCTTCCTAGCACATAAAGTAGTGATACAAATTGATTATGAAGAATGAGACCTTCAAGAGAGACAAAGAGTAAAAAGGCTCCATCTCACCATGGGAGCTGGCTTTGCTCCTGTAACAATGCAAACCAGAGTGAAGTTCTGGGCCTCATAGCGGCTGAAAGGAGCTGGACTGTTGGCTGCCACCACAGAGATAGACTTAGGAGGTACTGCAGAGAAAATACAAATAAGACTTAGGCACTCTAACATGGAAATACCTTTTGATTCATTGAAGGAAAATAAATATATAGTACGGTTATGAGGTATCTATATGGAAAACAAAAAAAATTTGTCCTAAGTGATGAATCAGTATGCTGGTGATGACTCTGAGCAAAGACTGCAGAAGTACCTTCAAAGAGAACATTGCAAATCAGTTCAATTTTACTTGAATCAAAGGGTTAGGGTTTTTGGAAAATATCCTAATTTTCTTTCTGAGAATTAGATGTTCAGATGGTTCTTAATCTCTGTTAAGTACAGAGCTGGAGTCAGGACGTGGATCACCTAGCCTGTGGTAACCTGCACACCCCTCCACCCCCCAAAATTAGCAGGCATCCGTCCATCACAGCTAATGCTGGATTGCACCTGAAGGGCCATCAGTGGCGATTGTGCCTGAATGCCTACTTGCTTCATGTCACACTTGCATTGCTTGAATTGCAAACGTGGGCAATCAGTAGGCCTGGAGCCTGTCAACAGCTCACCATTCAGAAGCGCTCTAGGGAGAGACTGGGTCCATCCTGTGGATGTAGCTGAGCCATCTGAGGTGGTGCTGGCATAGCGTGGCAAACATGCTGCAGGAGCGAGCATGTTGCAGGACATCAATGTTAGGTACTACTGTCTGCCATGAGATGCACTTAGGCATCACATGTTAAGCCATTTACGGCTGATGATTAGGCTTGGTAGATGTGAAGACCATGTGCACACAGTTCAGTACTTGTTGGTCCACACTCCCTTTGACTGCTCTCTCACTGTGGCAGTCCTCGCAAGATGGGTGCTAAGCTCCACATCAAGTGACAGGTCGCTGGAGACTGGGGACCCAAGGTATGTAAATGAGTTGTCACAGTCAAGAGTTTTGTTGTTGATTGTCACTAATGGTGAGGCTGAACATTCTACAAGCATGTGAGAGTCTGACTTGGTGTGGGATGGTGCATTGGCAAATAGTATTTCCATCAGGAACACACTGGTCACTTCGGTCTTGGAACGCAAGCAGGCAAGGTTGAAGAGTTTAGTATCAGCTCTGGTTAGTGGGTAGACACTTTCAAAAGATGAATGGAATGCAAATGTCAGCAGGAGAGAGAAGAAAATTCAGAAGAGTCAGTGCAAGAACACAGTCATGCTTCTCTCCGCTGCAGATGGGAAAGTCTCTGACGTTTCTCCTTCATACATGCTGTTGTGAAAAATTTTATGAAAGTGAGTTTGGGGGCGCAGCCAATTTTTGCAAGCAGCTTGAGGAGATAATCTCTTCTGTAAGACATTTCTCCTGCAGCTGTCAGAGGGTGAAGAACATGTACCATGTTTCTTGCTGACCAAAAATCTCACTGTGGGAGTCTGGCAAGGGCAACATGGGTGAAGACCTTCCCCATGATGCTGAACAGAGAGATGCCATGGTAGTTACTGCAGTAACTACTGCAGTCTCCCTTCTTGTACAACATGATGATCATGGTATCATGCGTGTCCTGGGGGACAGCTCTTTCATTCCAACACAGGTCATGAAAATGTGGGAATCTTATAAGGATCATAATTACAGGTGCAGCAGCCTCTCACAAATATTAAATAAAAAATAAAAAATCTTGATTCCAGAATTCTAATAGTTTTGAAAAGAATTGGAAATATCCACAGAATTTCCAGTATTTCCCATTATTGTTTTTTTAATGATCTTTACACAAAAAGCTGCACCCAACTTGTGTCAGAAAGGTGTAACTCCTGCATGTTAACCCCCCGAATCTGAACAGCAGCTGATTACCATGCAGATATCTATGGTTTGGTGATGCCCTGACTTTTCCTGTAAAGCAATATTATTTAAAATTCAGATAAGACATCAGAAATTAATACATACCTATGACAGTGAGGATAATGCTTCCTGAGGCAAGAATCACTTTGTCTCTGGAGCTCTTGTCATAGATCCCGACATGGCACTCATACAGGCCATCATCCTCCATCTGGACCTCAGGAAGCCTGTTCATACACATATCGATATCTTTCACTTTCAACATTTGAGTTTTTTAACTCTTCTAATGTCACCTCCACTTACGATTACTCTTCCTCTGTCGAGAGAAAACAGGTTTGAATGTCCCGCCAAACCTTTCTGTCTTTCAAATCATTATTTGAGGACAGCATAGTGGTGCAGTAGTTAGCACTGTTAATTTACAGCTTCAAACCACAGGGTTCAAACCTGCTGGCTGGATACTCTGAGTCTGTGGCTTCCTCCCACAGTCCAAAGACATGCAGGTTAGGTTAACTTAAAGTTAATATGAACATGGATGGTTGTCCATCTCTATGTGTCAACCCTGACTGGCCACCTGTGTACCCCATCTCACACCCAATTTCAGCTGGGATTGGCTCCAGACCATCAAGGATAAGAAGTATAGCAACTGAATGAACGTAACACGTGTTGTCTAGTTGTTTTAGCCTGCCTTACCGCACAGTTGACTGGTAGACCAGGTCATCATGTCTGTGGATGTCTTCCATGTGGGAGTAGCTAGTGTTGTACATGGCATCATAGGTGAAAATTTTCTGCTTGACACCGCCTCCTTCAATCACCTGAGAGAGCGAGATTACATTAGTGTCATGATCTGTGTGACGTCGGTCCAAAAGAGAAATTTCAGTGCAAGGTAAGATGCTTCTTTCAGAAGTAGAGTCCTAAAAAAAAGATCAGATTTTTCACCCTGTCCTCTGGCATTAATAATGTGCCGTTTCTTTTTGTTTGCACTGCTACGCCTAAATACCGTCTCACCTGCCAGACTGTACGTCTAGTTTGTATCCATAAGAAAGTCACCACCAAGGAGAATGCATTAATTACATCTATATTTTTCTCAGTTCTAGCACAAGACCACTGTTTGACTGTACACACATGGATGTTTTCAAACAGGCATATTGAGAACAGGAGGCTGGCCTTTCATGAACCATATACAGAGAGATTGGCAAGCAGTTGTCATTGCATTAAGTTCACCTGTGTGTTCACCTGAAACCACACAATCTCTCGGAGGTTGCCATCTGTTTGGAAGTTGCACTTCAGTGTGACTGTGTCTCCAATCACAACAGGAGGAAGTGGCTCAATGGAAACGGTTAAATACCCTGCCACAGAGACAAAAATGGGAGGATATTTGGAAATTACATTGCATTCCAGTCAGTCAAGTCAATTTTTATTTGTATAGTGCCAATTCACAACATAGATTGTCTCAAGGCACTTTCCAAATAGAGCAGGTCTAGACCTTCTCTTTATAATATCATTTACAGAGACCCAACAATTCCCAGCAGGAGCAGCACTAGGCGACAGTGGCAAGGAAAGACTTCCTTTTAAGAGGCAGAAACCTCGAGCAGAATCTGACTCAGGGTGGGCGGGGCCATCTGCCTCGACCGGTTGGGTTGGACAGAGAGAGATAGAGAGAGAGAGAGTGAGAGAGAGAGCAAGAGAGAGCACAGAGGAAAAGATCAAGAACTTACAATGATAGCAATATTATTGTTAGAGATAGTAGCGGCAGTATCAGCAATAGTAATGTAATGACAACTAGTGCTCCTACTGATAAAATAGTTATGACAGCTGATAATTAATAATTATCATTATTAATTATAGTAAATTTGAGCAGGTTTAGCAGCAGGTGTTGAACAGGATCATGGGGCAGTAGGTGGTTTGCAGTTGCAGATCCAGACTCTACAGCTGCAGCTCTGGAGGAGGGAGGACCTGCGGAGAGGAACAGGAAGGAGAGAAAGAGAGGCACACAGCCTGGGCGCTTCATGTGGTTGAGGGGAAAAAACAAACTGTTAGAGTGATGCAGTGATTTTCAGAAAGTTTACAGTGATCTCGTCGGCAGGACAACCTGGACTATACTGTACTGAGTTTACTGGTTTATTGAGACTGAGGCCCAACCGCCAGTGGTAGGATGGCAACAGGTACAGAGCTTGAGTTTGTAAAAGAATAAGAAGCTAACTGGGGGTTATTTGATTTGACACACTGGAGGTTGTTGTGGCCACAGTTGTGTGTCACTTGTTTACCACAAAAAACATGAAAATTAAAATTTTTCTATCACATGGTGTAATCAGTCCAGCTGATATGGGATTCAATGGGATAAAATATTCTCATTTGTAAAATACACTGGAAACACAAGGGAGATCCTGCTACCAAAGCCTCACAAGGTTTACTTCAGGTCATGAAAAACCCATGTTAGAGATGGGTGGGTTGGAAACGGGCTTTCTAAAACAGTTAACATTAAGGACTATTAAGGACTATTATATTGGAATGTGTCCACTATGTGATATTGGAGCGTTTAGTTTATGTGCTGTAGTTTTTATGTTGATTGTTGAACCTATTGAGAATAGGAATTGTGTACTTAGAGTAGAAGCACCTGCAGTTGTTATTCAATATACTGTATATCTACTGGAGACCTGTTTTTCTGTTAATTTGTCTAAACAAAAATTGAAGTCACCCCCAGTACTATGATAGAACCTTTTTACATCTTCAAGTCTGCAGTTATCTTAGTCCAAAATGAAGACAGCCCTATTTTCTATCAAACCCGCCAATACTTATCAACGGTAGAGGAGTAGCTTTATAGCTCAGAGGCATGGCAGGAGAGGCATGGCATGGAGAGTGTGATGGCCTTGTTCTCAGAAAGGGATCCTGTGAGTCCAACCAAGTGGTGTGAATCTCTTGCAGAATGGGAGGGTACTATCAGGGCATTTTGAATGTTGCCATATCTCATGGAAGAGGCATGAATCCATAACAATCTAGGAAGGGCTGTTAGGAAGCTACAGAGTACTTTTCCGTGAGCATCAGAGACAAATACTAGAGAGAGGGCAGATATTTAACCTAGTCATGTTCCTACATGGTTGTGGCACCATCAGCATACATTTGGAATAATTGTAGCAGCCCTACTTGAGGCTTTTGAGGAAACACCAGGGAATTTTAATGTGATAATTCTTAATCCAATTTAGAGAAAGACAAATGCTATGAGCTGCTGTCTGTATCTGATGATGGATGTGGAGCAGAGAGTATCAGAGCATACTGCCTTAATGAGAGAGAGAGACGCTGCTTTTCCACCCTATCAACTGCAGCTCTAGTGACTCAGTACACCCTGAGGAAACTTAACATTGAAATAATGGTGGCGACACCTGACCTATTATCCCTCCAGAATGACCCTCTGCTTACACTGCATCACTTGGACCTCTGTGCTTTTAGGTCCTATACCACCCCCAGCAGGCCCACCCCCTCATCTAGCACTCCCAGAACATCTAGACAACAATTATTTTTCCCAGCACCCATTCAAAGGTGACTAGCAACTCCCAGTAAAAGTCCCACGAAGTTAGAGCAGTGTCATTCAACCCGACTTTAGCAAGAATAGTAAGGTCTAATAAAGGCAGCAAAACCCCCAGGAAGATGGCAGATAGATCCTCAAAACTCAGCATGCCTCCTACCAACTATTACACCAGTGAAGTTTACTCTTTCACCCCAAACACAGATAGAGCCTCAGATGCAGAGAGAGACTGGGATCCCCCTGCTGGACATGAGAACTAGCACATCCAAGTAGATTACCCAGTAACCTGGGGCGAGGCTCAAGCATGCATCAATGCCTCGTCAGCTACCCAAATACCCTCAGAACCACCACAGAAAGAGCCACACATGAGTACAGAACATGATTTCTTTAGAGAAGGAGTAGCTCGGCAAGACAAAGCTATGATTAGAAAAGCCAATCCCTCACTTCAGTTGGACACAGTACAGTAGAGTATGTTGTTTGACATTGGTTTTGACAAACTGATTGCCATTTCCTCCCTTATCATCATGCCATAAATTTATGGCATCCGGAATGGCGTCTCCAGTCATGGATGATGATCCACCTCAGGGGACATAGTTTTGATCTACAGAGCCCATGGTACGACCAACTAAGTAGCCGCCACTTTGTAAGATATGAAATGTCCCTTTCGCCCGCAATGAACTATAGTTTGGAGATCAATTTGGCATAGGGAAATGATGTCCGAGACGCTAGCACTGAATCGAGCAGGAAGCAGCGGGAGAAGAGGAACTGAGTCAAAAGGTAGAATCCACTCTTCTCTTGAAGGATCCAGCTATTGGCCCATATATCTCAGGGGCTATTTTCTCAACTCTTAAAACTTTAACTGTGTACTGACGATGATTGGCAACTATAGCAATGATACCACTCCTGCCTTGCCCTTATCTTTAATTGTCATTGGAGTTTCCTGGTGTAATCCCGCCACTGTCTGCCTTGCCCCCATGGTTCTCCACAGACTACGATCCACAAGCCTGGCTGCCGTGCTGAGCCTGCTTTGGAATGTATCAGAGACTTGTTAGCATGCCTGCCCCACTTCCCCACTGCAGATTTCAACCTTTTATTCAAGTCACAATAAATAAGCCTGTTTCAAACTTTTACATGTTGTCTGAGTCTGAGTTCTGCTTGTGGGTCCTTAAAACTAAACCAAAACTTAACACCATGATGAAATGAATGAAACTACAACAACAAACTTGTTTGCTGTGTTCAAAGCAGCAGTATTTGATACAGACTTTTCCCCGAAGTTCTCCAAATTTCTCTCCTGACATATGATGACATTTAATTTAGACTCCAATCCCTTGGAGAGGATGGGATTAAATTTAGCAAGAATATACAGCTACTACAGTATTTCTCTATGATTTCTTTTTGTTTGTCAGATTAGCAGCTCAGCATCAGTTGGAGCTGTTAAAACAGCAAAGCGTGATAATCATTCCATCCATTAAGGCCAGCTGCCCTGTACTCATCAGTGAACTAAAAACTGACCCTGGCCCCTAGTGGTCTAATAAACACACAGGCAGCTCACACAGCTCACTGCTTAGATATACTTATCCCTAGGAGCAACAGTATTTACACTAGGTTAACATTTGTTCCAGTGGGATTAAATGGGTTAATGCAAATATAGATACATACGATTTATTACACAGGTGAAACACATTTGGACATACAGTATATAGACACATTGGACATGGATAGACACATTTGGTTTCATTATGTTATAAATCATGTGATAAATTCAAATATTGATAATGTATTTTTCACTTCAATTCTAATATGATATGTAATATCAAATAGACTGACATATAGTCACATGCCTTTTGGACATTTCTCATGTGAAAAAAAATGCAGTAAAAAATATAAGACCTAATGTGTCAAATTTCTAATGTGGTATCACTTCACATGTTATTAATATACATATAGGCATAGGTAGAGTTTGGACATTTAACTTACGAGAAAATCCACATTACACATCCACATTTTATTTCCAGGTATATTTCAGATATAAAATTCCAGCTGTCACATGTGAAAACATCAATTTCATATGTTTCACACAAAGAATTCACACATAATCCATGTGGTTTTTACCTAAACCTTTAACATGTCAAATACTACACTTCATATGAAAAACTAAATTCCACATGTACTTTTATTTAAGACACTGAAACAAACCTGGACCTGATGTCATCTTTACAGCATGCATGTAGTCCGTGTGGGGTGAACTAACGTCCAGGAGCTGCCTGCCCTCTGACATGTGAACTGGGACCAAAGGCACCTAGCACAGTAGCAGCCTGCCAGCCAGTGCTGAGAGGCACTCTGATGCCCTCTATCACCAGTCACATCACCTCTACAATGCTGGCCTGTACCACATGACGTCAGACTGCCTACAGATTATTTTCCCATGTTTTTCCTCTTAATCCTCCCTCCAGCTTTTCATCTAAAGAGCCAGCCATTTGCCAAGCTGGTCTCTCTCCACACACACACACACACACACACACACACACACACACACACACACACACACACACACACACACACACACACATACAAACAAGGTAGCAGAGAGATTAACACATATCAGAATAACACTGAAATGATTAAAAAGAAGCAGCACTCGCACATGATAACTGATTCATAATGTCCACTGTAAACAACAGAAAACAATCATTAAACTGAGGAAAAGCATATTCTGTAATGAGATTAAGGTTAGTGAAATGAGATATTGAGGGGTGATATTACTGTCCCTGCTCAGCTTAGGTTTGGTTGTGGACTATGGCTGCTTTTGCCCTACTTTATGTGATA